TATATATATTATATATATATATATATATATATATTTATATATATATATATATATATTTATATATATGTAAGATGTGAGCACATGGAATATGGTGTTAAAGAGTGAAATCGTGGTGTTTAATCTATCCAAACAAGACAATACATGTTAATGCACAGTAGCGCATCGTATTAATGCTATTGGTACAGTTCTTGAAATCGAACGCTCTTACGCGTCATCCAGCAAATATGAACCAAGTCCTTGTCATAACGAATTCGAACCCATATACATATAAACAATTCGATAAAGAGCACAAATTAAGGATTTTAGGCTGCCGATATATCCGCCATAAAATTGAGGCTTACCATATTGGCATGTGTCGATCTCCAAGATAAGCTACACGCGCAGTCTCGTACGTTCCGGTTATATCGTGTCGATGTGTAAACACCACATCAACAACACGTACACCTCATATTGTATGCGCTTGCTCGCTAAATAAATGCATCTCCATTTTCTCGCGTCACAGTGACTCACAGATCCAGAGAGTTTTTGTTTTTGTTTTTTGGAAACTTCGGATCGATTAGTCATCAGAATGATCAGATCTATGAAAACTCTCGAAATTAAAAATATTAGAGCTGAAACTCTCTCTAAAATTCTAAAATATTAAATAGAGAGAAATCGCCAGAAAATGCAAATACAAATATCGCGTTTCGCAATAGCACCACAGCTATTGCAATCAATTGAGTGCATTTCGTAGACTACTCGTAGCGAGATCGAAGACAACGCACATCGCAACATGCAGAGTTTCTTGCACAGCCTGGGGGAGAGTATCACCCCCGTACTCAAAAACTCGAAGTTTAAGGAGACCGGTGTCCTAACTCCTGAGGAGGTGAGTGTTTGCTATTTGGCTGAGCAAGCTCCGCTATGCGTCGTCATTTAGCTGTCGTGTGTGGTTTCTTCGACAAGGATTTCGTATAGTCAACTGTTTCCGGTCAATAGCGGCGAATACTTCTCTGAACTAACTTTCTGATTTTCTGGATTGAACTTATATTGTCGTAGCACGCGACGTATCTGTATGCTGGCTTCTGCTCCTTTTTCTCCTAACCTGCTTACATTATTCACTATGTTTGTCACTGACTGTCTCTCCTATTACATACCGTGTCTACAGTTTGTAGCGGCGGGCGATTTCCTGGTCTATAAATGCCCCACCTGGTCTTGGTAAGTATGATTTGATAATATTGTAGAAGTTAATTAATGCGTGATGCGCCACAGTACGAGGTTATTGTGAGTCTGATTTAGACAGCCTGGCGTAGATTGTTTTACCGCATGTTTGCTACATTAGTTCCCCAGCTAGTAGATTTTATTAATACGGAATGCGATTACAAGGATGCTTGTTTTGGATCACAGATCACTGGTGATAATTATGTTCTTCATCCGAATGGTTCCACACTTGTAGGGCTTCAGGAGAGGAAACCAAGCGACGACAATACTTGCCAGCCGATAAACAATATTTAGTCACAAAGAATGGTAAGAGTCAGTTCAACTGGTTTCACATTTATTCGTTTTATTTATGTATATTTTGTATTGATATATAAAGATATATATATGTGTGTGTGTGTGTGTGTATGTATGTATG